GGGGTGACTCTGGTTCTTATCTCCCCCTCTATTAAACTTGAAGTTATTTTTTTTTGGGGGGGGGGGGAGACCTGTCAGCAGAAGGGGCTGTGGTTGGCGTGTTCCTGTGCTGCTGTCCAGAGATACCTGCAGGCTGGTGGGGTGATGATGCCGCCGGGAGCTTCCTCAGCGCAGAGCCCTTACCCGTGCCCTCCCACAGACTTTTACCTCCTCAGTGCCGGACGGACCCGCTGAGCATGTTGAGCAATAACGCTGGCTCCGTGAGGGAATGCTTGTTTGGTTTTTTTTTTACACTGAAATGGCTCTTTGCTCCCTCCCTTCCCCTCCGCTGCCTCCCTCCCGAGGAGAGCAGCCCCTGGCTCTGTGCTGCGCGACGCTGCTGTACCTTTAGTTGCTGTATTTATTTTATATCGCTAGCGGCCTCCCTGCCGTGTCCATTTTGGGCAGCCAGGGGCTGAGTTTTGTATGCAAATGGTCACACTGGTTATTTTTCTGCCTTCATCGCATTCCATGGCGTGGGGAAAAGAGGAAACGTGTAGTGAGGAGGTGAAGGGGGTGGGAAGGAGCGATGGGTGTCGGTGGGGGACAGCACCCGGAGCGCAGAAACCTCTGTACAATCACTGATCAGGTGCAGCAGTTGGATCCAGGGATAAGGAGAGAGGCCTCTCGTGTCCCCTCACGCGGGCAGTATTATTACGTAGTCGAATACTGTGTTTTATTGAGATGAGTACGACGACATACAAGATGTAAATAATAAAGGTGTAGGGTATTTAAATAGAAACGAGCCGACAGTGAAAGGGAAGAAGGCTCCACTGGGCTGTGATGATGCATGTGCTGGGTTTAATGGCCTGTTCTGTTTGTTCCCTGTACTCAGTGGGTAAGTGCAATGGTCTCCACAAGGGGGAAAGCAGTTCTGCTGGACGTCAGCGTTCTGCAGTCACAGGGGGCAGAACTGACCCCTCCAGCTACAGCCTCAAAGCAATTGGATGTAAATCACTTGAGCTGGATTCCGGCCAGTCCCTTCCTTCTCCCTCTCGATCTCCAATCTCGAGCAGCGCCTCAACCAGCTTTGAGACAAGACTCTTTTAAGTTAACAGGGGTGGGTTTTCTCACATCCATTGGCAAAACAGATAGGGCAGGTCCTTGGACATGAGGCTCGGCGTTTGTAGCCGTGCTGTCGAGAGGCAGCTCTTACCAGACTGCCAGTGGGAGCAGTGGGCTCAAGCGCTGAGAAAATCAGTAGGAGGAGACCCCTGTCTGTTGTAGAAAGGAAACTCCAGAGGAGAAAGTGCTTTTGGAATTAATGGTGGCTGTGAAACCCATCACTGCAAGTGCAGCTTGGAATTATTTATGGTTGAGTTTTCCTTACTGTGTTACAAAGTAAAAACCACTAGAGGTGAAAAACTCAGTGGATTTGGGGGCCTGAGGTTCTACTTGGAGGCCCAGGCAGTTGTAGAAGCCCTTGAAGGTGGAATCAAAGCTTGGCCAAGGAACTTGCTGTAGCTGGTCTGAAGCTGATGAAGACCCCATCCCCATCAGCTCCCTGACGTAGAAGGCAGGCGAGAGGGGCAGGTATGTTGTTTGGATCCTTAAAGCAGTTTTAAATCAAGGATGAGGGACAAGGAGAGGGTCAACACTAGTCAAGGAGTGTTCAAGGCCAGGCTGGATGGGGCTTTGAGCAACCTGCTCTGGTGGGAGGTGTCCCTGCCCAGGGCAGGGGGGGTGGAACTGGATGATCTTTAAGGTCCCTTCCAACCCAAACCATTCTATGATCCTTCCTGCCTCAGACATGTTCTTGCCAGCACTTTGGATGCAGTTGGTGCTGGCAGGGTGTCTGAGGAAGTGGGTTTTGCTGCTCTAGATGCCTACATCTGACTCTCACTGTGATTTGAGGAGGCCAGAGGAGCACACGTGCTCCCGGCAGAACGGCGTTGGTCTCGGTGTTGCCGGCAGCGCGCTGCCCGCGCCGTGCAGCCAAAGGGGAAGGTGCTGCAGTCTTGCTGCGTGGCAACGCGTTGTTAAAAGCTGTGGAAATTAAACTATGAATGTTCCTTGTCTGTAGGGTGAGGTTCCTGCTTCATACCCAGCAGCCGTAACTGTACATACATCTCAAATGCATTTGTTCTGCTGCATGTTAAATAAATTGTTTTCCCTACTTTGCTCTGTGGATGGCCCTTACTAACGACTGCTCCTGGAGACCACTGCTGTTTCTGCAGATCCCAAAACTCAACCCATCGTCGCAAGACCATCCAAACTAAGCAAAAATGGAGACATTGCTCTTTTCTAAAACCCCAGCGGTTTAAAAGGTGGGTTTAATTTCAGTCCTGGGTGTTAGAGGTAAAGCAACTGACAAAGCTTGAGGTAGTGCTGCGTTGGTAACGAGCTTTACTTCATCAGGGGAGGCTGCCAGAGCAAGTTAGAACAAACAGCCATAACATCGTGATGCAGCTCCCTCTTACAAGTTACATTTACTTTTTTTTAAAGTTATGTTTATGGAAGACAAGAACTAATCCCCAAGCAATATGCAAAACAAGGCATTTATTCTTAGAAAAGCAGTCAGGTTTATGTACAGTGAGCCACGGAGGATGAGTAAAATCACATATTGCTGTCTTCACGATCCTTCCAGCGTGCCTTCCTTGACGATGACTCGTGCAAGGTTTCGTGCAAGAGCAAGTCTCAGCATTTCCACTTTCGTAGTCTCGACGTCATCACCCTAAAAGGGAGCAGAGTTTGGGTCAGATGGCGACAGGCAGGAATGAGCTGGCAATAGCTGCTTTTTCTGAGTTTTAGGAAGAAAGGATGCGGGTCATTCAGAGGAAGAGTGTGGATGTATTTATCTGTCACAGCAACCTCCTGAGAAGAGCAAAAGCTACATTTCCTACTTTTTAGATGAAGACGAGAGCAGTGCCAGGCCTTCTCTTTTTTGGCAGCCGCAGAGGTTTGTATGTGCAGCCAACGGCTCCCTGTTCTGCGCCTGGAAGGTTTCACAGCTCGAGCTGTCAGATGGCAGCAGCTCAGCTTCTCATTGCCCAGGTTGTTTGCAATGACTTATCTTGGAAAAGCATCACAGCCCAATCCCCGTGGAGCAGCCAGGAGCAGCCGTTGCTCCTCTGCTGGCTTTGTGTGTGCTTAAATACCTCTTCAGGATGCCTCATTGGGCTGGCCTTTAAAAATAACTATACGTACCAGCCTCAGGAACTCGGCCTCTCCCTCTTCTCTGCCTCCATCACGGAATATAAATTTAGAGTTTGTTTTCCCCAACCCTCCCAGCAGCCCCACCGATTCGTTATCCCTTTGTTCTCAAAACGGGAGCTACCTGGAGTTTCTGCTCATCCGACTTCCGTGCTGTCAGGTCCTCCAGGCACCGCATCAACTCGTAAGTCTGCTCTGCTGAGAATATCACCTGTGGAAATGCAAGTATTTACTGAAAATGATCAAGTTCAAGGACACTGCACAGTCTGAGAGGAAGGGAACGCTTTCACACTCCCACAGATCCATTCTGACCCTTTAAATCAGGATCAGAGGACAATTGGGGCTGGAAGTGACTTTGGGTGGTCTCTAGTGCCACCTCCTGTGTGAAGCAGGGCCAGCTACGAGGCCAGGGCAGGAGCTCTGGGCTTTATCCAGTCGTGGGTCTGTAATTGCTAGTGTCATTTTTTTTGATGGATCTTAAAGCAGAAAATTGGTTTAGGAGAAGGAAGCACGCTAGAACAGTCTTCAAGCCCAGTACCAGCAGGAACTGGATGCAGTGTGTGCTTAAATTATCAGCAGATGTGTGTCCCACTGCTGTTTTACAAAAGCAGAGAACCAAATGGAGTTGATTATCCCCTCCTGTGTGCTCCCACTGAGAGGGCACCTGGATACGGGTGCGATTCCTGAACTGCCACAAACAGTTCCTTTGCACTAGAAGTGCAAGACCCCACCTGGGGGCAAGAAAAGGGGACACGGCTTTGAGATACCTTGTCAGGAAGAGAAGAAAGGGTGTCGGGGGCTCTTTGTGTGGCGTGACCAGCCTGCTCACCTCTTTCTGCTCCAGCAGGGGAAGGGCATCTGTCAGCAGGGTCATCCAGAAGGAGCACGGAGCGATGTGAGCCGTCATCAGCATCAGCAGCAGCCTGGCAGCCTCAGAGAACCGCTTCTCCCCGTACAGCCGGTGGAACTCCCGGTACTTCCCTGCACACGGGTGTTGGTGAAGGGGAAAAGGTGTCAGTGTCTCTCAGACCTGGGCTACTGGTGGCAGGGGGTCCTTTGCTCCCATGAAGCCTGTGGTAGAACCACCCCCACCTGAAATGAGTCTCCAAAGAGTCTGGGGAAAGGGGAATCTCGTCTATGAAGAGAGGTTCAGACAGAGGCTGGCCAAAAAGGCAGCCAAAATCCTGTTCCTGGTGAGGTTTCCTGTTTGAACCAGGCTCTTTGCTAACTGGTACTGGTCTGGTGGTGGGTGTCTGGGGGGTGGGCTTAGAGAGAGCAGTGGTGTCTGTGGAAACCAGGAGCGGGAGGGGAGATGCAGAGGGTGAATGTTCTTTTTGATATCGCAGAGTATCAGGAGGCCTGAAAGGCTTCATTGTCCTCCTGATTGTTGAAATGGAAACTGAGATCTTTGTTACTGTGGAAAGTTCTGCTTTGGTTAAGAATGAAGTTCAGTCCATGTCCAGCACATGAGAACTGGCTGAGGAAGAAAGGGAGTTTTATTCTGTGGCTTTGTTTATATCCACTGGACTGTCAAAATACTGGAAGTAGTAATTCCCATTCCCATTCACCTCTGACTAATGCTTGAGCTCAAGACAGAGACGTGGGAAAGCTGTCAGCAAAAATACCTGATGCTTCTAAAACCTCCAAAGGAGAGACAAGCAGAAATATTTTCAGGCCTTTTTATAAAAAGCAGAAAGGGAGGTAATTCCTTTACAAACAGGGTTTATAAACACA